CCCAACTTCTTCTATTTTTCCGCAATTGTGCAGCCCTACTTGTTATCCTTGGTTAAAGCTTTCCGTTGTTCCCTTCATTGAATCAGATATAGCTGCTTATTTTATCTGAGGATTTGATTTGATGAAGTTGGACTCTCCGTTCAGTCAGAGTTGGGCCTGGACATTTATTTCTGTAGCACTTTCTTTTTCTTTTCTTTTCTTTTCTTTACTTAATCTGGAATAATGGACAACAGTTTTACTAATGTGAATGCTTGCATTTTGTATTTTTATTTTCAGTCACTTTAACTTACATAGCTTTCCAGACACACACATATCAAGTTTTAACCCTAACTCCTAATAATTATAATTATGTATGTGAAGTATGCTTTATTTTCCTGAGCTTTGGTTTGATCTTACCTGTGAAGCAGCAGATTATGTCACTGTGTCTGTGGTGGTGCCACCTCCCAGGTGTAAATGTTCTGTTTTATGGCTTTTTTTTTTTTTAAATATCAGATTGTCTGTTTCACTGTGTAAACCAGCATTTTCCTGCCTGCTGAGTCATCAGAACAGCCCATGCCACCTAACACAGCTTCGGTTTTATCCGTTTTAGTAGACATTTTAGCATTGAATGGTCTACATTGTAAACTGTCAGAGCTAGTCTTAGGAACATAACTGAACACTGTGCTTAGCGTTTTTAGTTACATGTTTCAAGCAAGTTAGTGCCACTGAGTTTGAGTAAATTGTCGATATTTTTAGCAGTGTGTGTCATTTTGATTGCTAGTCACACCATGGTTTGTACCACAAAGTAGCATCCTGGAGCACTGAGCTGAACAGAATTGAACTTCTTCTCAGACCTAAATTTTTATCTTTGCATTTGTCATTGAACTTACATATTGGTAATGTGGTTTTTAAATGTCTTATGTTGAAATGATGGGCAGGTTTTAATTCTGGGTTTGTAGGTCCTGATATTTTTGTGAGTGCTGAGGAGTGAAAGAGTTGTGGAGGAGCTGCCCCTAAAATGTCTGTTCAAAAAAACTGAAAAGCCTCAAGTTTACATATGAGGTGACCTCTGACCCTGACTCTTTCCTGTGCCTTGCTGTTGTTTATGTGTGTTATGAAAAAGGCCTTAAAATGCCCAACGGGTCAGTTCAAAGATATATTGCTGATGCTGTCCAGTCAGATGTGTGGCTACCTCAAAAATACTTCTTTTTTTATCTCAGTGTGTGCTTTGTTGGACAATAACATTGTGGCTCTGTGATTTATTGTGACTTTCTCTGTTTAGGGAGAATCCTCTGAAAGGTATCTTCAACTGCTTCTGACATTAACAAAGCACTGTTACAATAAGTAATCTTGGCTTTGCAAAAGGAAAGGCTTTGAAATAAAGAGAATTAAAGGATTACAAGTGACGTCTTTGTGTCTATTATAACAACTGTGTATTTTTTTTACACTACTATTAAAAGCACGTCATTGATTTGTCACACACAATTGAGTTATAAAGTTGGTAGAGTCAGCATAAAAGGCTGATCAAAGAGCATAGATGTTACTATGAAACGCCACTGTGTCATTAATAATTTGCCCGACATCTGCAAAAAAAGATGTTTTCTTTTATTAGTTTGTGGTATTTGGATGAAAAACAACCCTCTTCATGAATATGTATCTTTTAATCACAATGTAAAGGTAGATTCTAACACAAGGACCCTCTAGAGTCTCAATATTAAGTTATAAAGCATGTCCTGTCTTCACTGATTAATTTGCAGTTAATCATATTACATTAAACCCAGTGAAATACACTGTTGTGCCCCGGTACCATAATCCAGCCTTGTGATAAATACATAGAGAAAACATGGTTAGCGTGACTTCAGTGTGAAATTTGGACACACATAAGTTTAGTAATAGCAATGTTGTTTTTCCTAAAATTCTGAATTCATAGTGACTTTATGGATTTCTATTTGTGCCAATATGACAATAGACTTATTATTTTGAGATATTATGTCAACATATTTAGAAAGTTTCTAATTATTTTGAGATTATAAATCAATATTATAAGAAATGTTCTCATTATAATGACTTACAGAATCACCTTGATGGAAATGGGCTTCCATAGAGTGCTGGAGAAACACACAATTATACAATACATTATATATACAAACAATATAAATAAAACCTGATAATACCTGGTGGCAGTAGCTCAGTGTGTAGGGACTTGGCTTGGGCTTGCCGCTAACGTGGCAGCCCCATCATGTCCACAAGTGCATGAAAGTATGTATTTCAGCCTGTGTTTGAATAAAAATGAGTGAAAAGAACAAATTTCCCCTAGGGGATTAATAAAGTATATCTTCTTCTTCTTCTATAATCGTGATCAAGCTGATGAAGCTAATCAAGGCTATTTATTTAATAATAATAATTTTTATTTTATAAGCTAGATCCTCAAAGGCACTTTACATAAAACATAAAAACAGCAAAACAACATCAAATAGTAAAACACACACAAAAAAAACACATCAATCTAAGCTAAACATTAAAAGCAATTTTAAAAAGGTGAGATTTAAATGTTGGAAGGTCGGTGCACGTCCATCAGCCTAATGTGCGGTGATTTGTGTCCTCAATAACACATACTATACTCTCCACAGCATGCTAACATCATGCACATTCTTGACAAGAAGGAGAATAACAGCAACCAGTTGTCCTGCCAGCCGTCAAAAAGGCTCCATTCCGCCCCAGTTCCCTGCGCAAGGGCTCCCGGAAAATTAATGCTCAGAGTGAGAGGCCTCCCTCCATTGCAGGATCAACCTCCGCCTCTACGGCGGTCAACCGTCACGACGTCACCCGACGCTTGAGCGGCGCATGGAGTTCCTTCACCGCCCGGCTGTTGGACCCCGCTGCTGGAAGCTTTGAGGTTCCTGATGCGTTGCCACTTGGTGTTTCGGCTTCAAAGGCTGAGCACTCTGCCGCGCAGCTGCTTCCCCCCTCCCCCGCCTCCGCGCCCTCCCGGCCAAGAGGCGAGCAGTTAGAGAAACAAAAACACCCCGTGGGGGAAGTCTTTTGTTGCCACCTTCGACGACGGAGGGCACGAAAGAACCGCTCGCCCTTTAAAGCGAAAGTCCTGAGCCGCGATGAGTGTCGGAGGCGTACGGGCCGAGCTCGCCAGAAACCTCCACCCTTCCTGGACAGCGCGAGGAAGGCCGGAGCTGCTCGGCGCCGGGACAACCCAGGGTCCGAGTAACGAGCTTCACCCACGACTTCACCCCTGCCCACCAGACGCAGACCCAGGGCCAGCACCGCACGAGCCAGCTGGAGCAACGCAGGTCTCGGCAGCTCCTCGTTTCTTCCTTAGCACGAAGGCAAAAAAATAAAGGGCGCGCGTTATTGACGTTCAGCGGCGGTAGGCCGACGGTTAGTGCCGCTTACTGCCGTTAGCGACGGACCTCCTCACGCCCTGCGCTTCACGCGCGCCCGGTTCAGCTGCCGTTAGCCTGGCCTGCTTTAATTGGATGCGCAGCGTTGTAGCTCCGCGTTAGCTCGCTGCTCAGCTGGCGCCAGCTACACGTCAAGTTAAACCTCCCGAAGCTGCACATCAGTGTTCGTCTCTTGGCCGCGTTTGTACATGTGGAACGTGGTCGAACGCACCCGCGGCCGCCTCGCTGGCGCTGTCCACTTTAAGCCGGCGTCACCAGAATAACCCGTTTAACGCCCAGGTGAGCCTCTGCTCAACGTGTGAATCAATTTGTGTTCTTCTACCGCCGCGACTGTGTCTCCCTTGGTCAACCCCTCTTCCACAGGTATAGCCGCTAGCTGCTACATCGTCTTAGGCAGCTCGCGTTTCGTTCGGAGTAAATGCCTCTGGTGTTGTTGCCAGGGTGAACCGGTCCTGATGCAGGTCTCCTCAAGGGCTCGTGGAGGACTCCGTGGACTGAAGCAGCCCAGCTGTTGGCTGGCTGCAACCTTCGAGGAGGATGCAAGAGGCAACACAGCTACTACAGCCAAAGACCCTGCGTGTGCCACGCATGCAGGTCACGCTCCTGGACCAGACACCGAGACTGCATGTAGTTTACTGTCAGTCGGCCTTAGCTGTAGGTTTAAGCTGCCAGTTTACTGTAGTTTACTGAGGTTATACTGTCGTTTACTGTGTTTACTGTGGTTTCCTCGTAGTTTACTGTAGTTTACTGTTTAGGTTTTACTGAGGTTTACTGTGGTCTTATGTGGCTTCTACTGTAGTATTAGCTGAGGTCTTACTGAAGTTTTTACTGTAGTGTTACTGTAGCTTCTACTGGTGGTCTTACCTGGTAGTTTACTGTAGTTACTGTGGTTTCGACTCGTGGTTTTTACCTCGTAGCTTCTTACTGAGCGTTTTACCTCGGAGTTTATCTGTAGTTTGACTGAAGCTTTACTGGAGGCTTTTTACTGCGTAAGTGTTACCTGCCAGGCTTTCACTGGTAGTCTTTACTGTCAGTCATTCACCTGGTGGTTTGCTGTGGTTTCAGCTTGTAGTCCTTACTGACGGTTTCACTGAGGTTTAGCCTGAGGTTTCCACTGAGGTTTAGTCTGTAGTTTTAGCTCGAAGTTTACGTGAGGCTGTTACCCCTGTAACGTGCTTAGCTGAGGTTTTACTGAAAGCTTTAGATGTAGCTGCTCTAGCTGTAGGTTTACTGAGGCTTTTCACTGACGGTCCTTACTGAGGGGTTTACTGCTGGTTTACCTGAGGTTTACCTGAAGTTTACTGACGCGTTTCCACTTGCAGGCGTTTACTGAAACGTTTACTGAAGTTTTAGCTGTACGTTGTACTCGACGGTTTGACCCGTCAGTCTTCCACTGCAGGTTATATGAAGTTTACCCTGTACGTGTTACTTCGACAGTTTACTGTAGTCCTTACTGCTGCGTTTACTGTGGTGTTACCCTGAGGTTTCAACTGAAGCTTTAGCTGTAGGCTTGTACTCGTAGTTTACGCTGAAGTTTCACTGTAAGTTGTACTGTAGTCTTACGCCTGTAGTTGTAGACTGAGGCTTAGCTGAGGTTTAGGCTGTAGTTTAACTAGGTTCTCACTGTACGTGGTTAGCTGAGGTTTACCTGTAGTTTTCACTGAGTTTACTGTGGTTTCACTGAGGTTTACTGTAGTTTTCACTGAGGTCTTACGTGCGTGGTTCTGTACTGAGGCTTTTACTGTCCGCCGTTTACTGAGGTTTCCACTGTAGTCTTACTGCCACGGTTTACTGTAGTGTTACTGTACGCTTTTACTCGAAAAAGGGTTTTACTCGAGGTTTACTGCTAGTTTCACTGTGGTTGAACTGATAATGATGAAAGGAACACGGATCCCTGCTTTTACACACCACACACAGGAGATCATTAATGTGTACTATCCCCATTAGACAGCTTTTCTATAAAGCACAGTGTACTTTCAAAGTTCACAAAGAGGCTAGTTGTACTCACGCAAGACCTGCACATATTGCAAATGAAACACCAGTATTATATATGTGTATTTATATATTGGATACATTACACTAATATACACTTGCTACAATACTTTTCGTACTCAGTTCGTGTTTGTAATGTAATGGAAAGTTAGAATTTCCTGGTAAAAAAATAGTTTTGAAGATGACACTTGTTGTTGTTGAACATCCAAAATGTCAAATACTGCTGGAAAAACATCAGGATTGTTTTTTTAATTTATTTTTTTATACATTATATTGACTTTTATAAATGTGATTGGAGTCCTGTTTGTTTGGAGAGAGCCTGATCCCGGATCAGTTATTACACGTTCAATACAAAACGCTCCGACACTTATCACGTCTGTACTTCCTCTGTAACTCAGCCTGTTGTCAGTCTGGCATGGCCTTACTTTTTATCAATGCACGGCCCCGTCGTGCTGGTGTTGTATTATAATAATAATACCGCAGTAATTCAGATGCTGTTTTGTTTTTTCGTTGTTGTCTTTCAGCTACTGTGGTATCCACGATCCAGCGTGTGTGGTGCACTGCAATACCAGCAAGAAGTGGTTCTGTAACGGACGTGGAAACACATCTGGCAGGTGTGTCGTCTGCTCATCTTCCCCTTATTACTTCACTCCTACTTTAAACTCCTTTTTTTTAAATGTTTTTATTTATTTATTTATTTACTGTTGGTCAATATGTGGTGTTGTAAGTAGATTTCTGTAGCTACCAGGACAAACGTGACGGCGCTCCAAGTGTTTCTGATCATTTTGCTCCTGTTGTCTGACTCCCAGTCACATTGTGAACCACCTGGTGAGAGCAAAATGCAAAGAGGTGACGCTGCATAAGGACGGGCCGCTGGGCGAGACGGTGCTGGAGTGTTACAACTGCGGCTGTCGTAACGTCTTCCTCCTGGGCTTCATCCCTGCCAAGGCCGATTCCGTCGTGGTGCTACTCTGCAGGTAAGTGTTGTCAGGGAGTAGAGTTTTACACGGGCGGAGAAATGTCCTGTGAAGAGTCTCCCTGGGGACAGCATGGGACAGCTGTGTGCTGAGTGATTATAAGTTACTCTGGAGAATTACCGAAGGCTAAGTTTGCAAATTCTTGCTTTGAAACAGGAAGTTTATCATCAGTTCAGTTGAGTTTTGGTCTTTACATCAGATGAATTGGCGTACATCCTGAGGAAACTGATGCAGAGTGTCTGAAATGCCTGAATAGTCAGCCAGAGGAAAGGAAAAACCTCCGCTTATGAAAGTTTACAGCAACAAACTTTTCAGTGATTGACAATCAAAACGTGGACGTTTTTATTACGGCAAGAAAATTAGTATAACCTGAATAAAGATTTGTATTTAAAGGTCCAGTGTGATTAGTGTGTCGTCACCTGAAAATAATATTTTTTTATGTTATTGTTACATTAGAATGAGCCGTTTATATCTACAGCCATATCGAACCTCCAGCACAAACCCAACACGGACTCTAGATGGGACCTTTTTGCTTTTTTTTCTAGAGTTTTGTGGCCACTGTAGTTTCTAAACTATATCAATTAAAATTAGAGTAAACATGACCAAAGTTAATTAAATATTAAATATGTTTTCATTGGACGTGTGGCGGTGCTTATATGGCTAAAAACCAGAGCTGAGCAGATAAAAACCTCTTAAACTCTTTGATGTTCAAACTATGTAATAGGCACACTGCTTAAAATTACCACAAACATGTCTTTGGCATCTCTGTACTACAATGTGACTGCGTTTGACTCCCAGATTGACCAATATATCTGTAATAAGATAGTTAGAGGCAGAGATGATATATTAAATATTATACAGTATTAAAGTGGCTGTTAGATAAATGCTCAAATCCAACATTATTTTGTGTTTATCAGTCAGTGGCTGGTGGATTTGTAGAAAGTTATTTTCCCATCCTGAAGATTACATTCATCGCTCGTATTAATCGACCTGTTGACTCCCACTAAAATGTGACTTTACTGTCACACAGAAGCAAGTAGTCAGCTGTTGCTCGGGGAAACTCCCTGTTTGTATGCACAAGCACCATTCAACTATTGCTTCCTGCTCAGGTCGTTCATTAAGTAAGTAAGTAAGTAA